AGCCAGTAGAATTTAACATGGCTGACAAAATCACTGAATGGAACTCTGTCAGCGGATGAGTGGCAATTCTCTGACTGAGTCAAGAACAAGCCACAACTCAAATCCTGCTACAGGTGTATGCATCGAATTTGGAGGAAAATATGAATCCTTTCTTGATGAAATTGAAGGTGCACTGTACGAAATATCGACTACGGAGTCCCTCATTCTAACTGGTGATTTTAATGCGCATGGCAGAGCAGACACTGAAAAGTCATACGCGTTATTGAAAAGAACGACCCTTGCGAACTGAACATAAAGGGCATAAAGTTGCTCCGGTGGCGTCAAACAAAGGAGCATTTACTATGAACACCTTCTTCGAACGTCGGAGCGTACGTCAGAAAACCTGATACAAGAAAGCTGATGCACAGAAGCCTGTGATCGATATGATATTAATATCGTTTGACTTACGACGCTTTCTAATGAATATTCGTTTTAGGAGAGGCGCAGAGCTGTCAATCGATAGACACCTTGTTGTTGGCACGATGTACTGTAAGAAACGGAGTACCATACGAAGATCTGGTGACACAAGCAAAAAGAGAATCAATTGGGAAACGTTACATTCTGCGGATACGAGGGAGAAACCGTCCTGGTGATGGCCGCTGATGTGGAAACCAGGTGAACGTTCTTTAAGAGCGGCTTATTCGGGGCTGCCGCCGAATGCTGCGGCTTCAAACAAGTTGGCCTGCTGCCTGGAGGTGAGAAACTTGGCGGTGGACATCACAGGGATAACTAGCTGTCGTCGAGACGAAGGCGGCATTAAAGAAATGGCTTGGATGCAAAGAGCCTTCAACTCGCATGCGGTATGTCGAGGCACTGAAGGCGGCAGCCAAAGCAGTGGCAAAAGCCAATACTGATTCCTGGGAGAAGTTAGTGAAGGTTTGGAGTCGAATTTCTACACGACAAACAAAGTATTCTGGCAGACCATCCGCCGGCTCCGAGGTGAAAAGAAGGGCAGTCTCATAGTCTTGAAG